GAAATTTGAGTACCTTATTTGACATTTACTGGAAATTTTGACGACACAAGATTAGTTTATTGACATTGACGATTACATTATCATCTTTTTAGCCCCCCAAAAAACTTCAGAGAAGCGTTTCCAGTTACCCACACCTAACACAGAGTAATTACAGTGCATCCACAACACACATGAGTTTAAAAAAAATAAATAAATGCCAGATCCATAAACTCAAGCACAGTTTTGGTATGTACAAGAAAATTGAAGACTTGAAACAAACCACTTCTGTCTGCCGCCCCTCCTTTCATGATTCGGGCCACAAGGATGGCTCCTGTAAAATCATCTTGCTTTATCGTAGCTCCCTACAAAAAGGGGATTAATATTTAGTTCAAGGGACATCATCTCTCAGCTTTTTTTGCTACTTACTTTGACTAAAAAGTAAATTACATTTGTTGAGATAGTTCAATATAAACAGCACCAAAAGGCATAAAAATCAACGTGTCAATATGTGCCATCGCATTAAAGGAAAAAAGGATGAACGGATAAAGTCGACAACATGGCCATGAAAAACCTTTCCTAGGACAGGAAGTCCATTAAAGCATAACACAACATGGCTGCCAACACCGTCTTGTGCCTGGATTTAGTTTAACGGCAGGCACAAGACTTTGTATCCAACAAGGTAAAGGTTTGAAAATGCGATAACGAGTAACTTACCAGAGGCTCCTTGTTTTTAACTAGCCTTATGATCTTGACGGAATCCTCGTCATCGTTGAAGTCTTCGGGCATTGGAGGTAGTTCAGGCTCATAGCTTTTCTGTGCAACTACATCGTGGACTGACAGAAGGCTCTAGAAGGGGGTGCATGAATAGCACAAGACGTGCGTCGCAAGAGTAAATGATAACAATTTATGTTTGAATAATAACTAAAAAAATCCTCACCTTCAAGTGGGGCTTGGCCAAAAGCTTGAGAAGCTCATTCACTTCTCTTGTAGCTGATTCGTCTTGAAGCTCCTCGGACAACTGAAAGAAAAAAATGTTTCTTCAATTTATAGCCTAATGGGAATATAGATTCAACATGCAACTACAGTACTTCATTTTA